ATTCTCTTGGACTCTCGGCTCCACACTCCCATGTACTTTTTCCTAGGTAACTTGTCTCTGGTGGACTTTTGTTATTCCTCAGCTGTTACACCAAAGGTCATGGCTGGACTTCTTATAGGAGACAAAGTAATATCTTACAGTAACTGTGCTTCACAGCTGTTCTTTTTTGCAGGCTTTGCTACTGTGGAAGATTTCCTGTTGGCTGCCATGGCCTATGATCGCTATGCAGCAGTGTGTAAGCCTCTGCACTATGCCACCACCATGACTACTAGTGTGTGCACAGGTCTGGTCACAGGCTGTTATGTTCTTGGTTTTTTGAATGCCATTGCCTATACTGGGGACACATTCAGTCTCCCCTTTTGCAAGTCCAATGTGGTCCATCATTTTTTCTGTGATATGCCAGCAGTCATGGCCCTCTCTTGCTCTGATAGACATGTAAATGAGCTGGTTTCTGTTTGTATAGCCAGCTTCAACATCTTTTTTGCTCTCATAATAGTTTTGGTGTCCTACATTATCATTTTCACCACCATCCTAAAGATGCACTCTGGTGCAGGACATCAGAAGGCTATTTCCACCTGTGCCTCCCACTTCACGGCAGTCTCCATTTTCTATGGGACCATCATCTTCATGTATTTGCAGCCCAGTTCCAGTCATGCCATGGACAGTGATAAGATAGTGTCTGTGTTCTACACCATGGTCATCCCCATGCTGAACCCTCTCGTCTACAGTCTGAGGAACAAAGAGGTCAAGAATGCATTCAAAAAGATTGTTCTGAAGCTAAAATAAGTTTCATGTTCATGACCTTAACTTTGGGTAGTCAACAATATCCATACTCACTTTAAGATTATTTCCATACATTAAGTTTTAATTAAAACTTGGACTCTTTCAAGTTCCTGAGCTCTTAATTTTACTTCTGCAATAGTACATTTTTCACAAAAAGGAACATATTTAGAAGAAAAATATATGAATGAGAATGTTTTTGATATTTTGGAATCCGTTTTGTCAAAATTCTTATTACTAATATAGATACTTTCATTTTTTTCCATTTTTCCTGTGACATATCATAATGATTAATCTTTGGTGTCAATATGACTGAATTTAGGATCACCATGAATGCAGCTCTTATATCTACAAGTGTGTTTCTAGAACTTTTTAACTAAGAGGGAATACGTATTCCCAATGTGAGTGTACCTCTCCTTGAGCTGAGGTTCTGTATGGATTAAAAAACAAGTTGTTTCTGTCACATCTGATTACAGATGCCATGTGACCAGCTGCCTCATATTCCTGCCACATACAATTCCAATCACCACTGCTTCCCCATGGCAATAGGCTGTGTGCCTTCTTAAGCCATGAACCAAAATAAACCCCTTCTTAAGTTGCTTTTGGTCAGGCACCTTGCCCCAGCAATCAGAAACTGATTAATGCAACTGATATACTTCTTAATGTAAAACATGCCTAGAAATGCTTTGAGGTTTTAAAAAAATGAGTGAGGGTGCAAAGGAATGTGGCATATTAGACAAAAATGAAATGTTATATGTTTATTTTTGTGTTTGATCTCATGTGTTATTAGTGAATTAAGGTGAATTAAAGAAAACCTTAGCTGGCTAATAAAAGGTTTTGTGCTCTGTATCTGAGCATGTGTGTGTGTCTGTGTGTGTCTGCATATGTGTGTCTATGTGTGTGTCTGCATGTCTGTATGTATGTCTGTGTCTGTGTGTTTGCATATAGACTAGAAATGCAGACTCCTATTTTGACTTACTAAGAACTTGCTTCCACTTCAGTGAGAGCAGATATCTTCAAACCACCGAGCTTTGAAGAAATAGAACAAAATGTTGTAGAAGGGGCAGACTCTCTCTTTTCAATGGAAACATCCCTTTATTCTCACATATGAATATCACAGTTGTTACCTCTCTGGTTTTCAGTCTCCTCGATTTTTATTAATCATACCTTGTTCATGATTCACTCCAACCCACCATCACTAAAAATGCATCTTTAAAATAAGATGAAGATCCCCAGCTTTCCTGGTTTGCAGCTTTAAGATAGCATATCTGGACTCTTCTCATAGTCTACAACCAAACAAGCCCATTCCGTGACAAATTTCCACAGCTCTAGCCATATCCTATGTGTTTTATAATGGGATAACCCTGATAAGCCAGTGTTTAAGACTCATGATCTAATAGATGGGCATGGTGTTTCACTCTTTTAGCAGCTGAGAGGCAGAGGAGATTGAGGCTAGCCTGTTTTA